AGTTTTCTCTGTTAAAATCCACTCATAAACTGGACAAACAAAGAAATGAGAGAAAGCACGATCTCTTTCTCTTTTTCTCACCTTCTCTCTCTCTTTCTGTCCTTCTCTCTATCCTTTCCTCTCTCTCCCTCCCTCTCTCTCTCCCTCTCCTCTCCCTCTCTCTAGCTCTTGCTTATGTATCTTAGCATTTTTCAACATTCACAGGAGCAGCGTTGATGGACAGCGTCTTAATTAGTCTTCCGCAAATTCTTCGCTGGTTTTTCTCTAATGAAATTGATATAGGAAATCACAACGCAATGCCGTAAATCCATGCAAAGATCATTGTCCAAGGGCATTCTTCTTTTATAGACCTATTTATACTCGTAATTGAAAGAACAAGCTACAAGGGTCTGCTTATTCAACCACACAGAATTTAGCAGATTTATTTCCATGTCCGAAGCTTCTTTAAGTTGTGTGAAACTAAATTAATCGTCTCATATCTGGAGAAAGCTTGATTTGCTGGGAAAGTGCTACAGTTCCAATCATAATTGCCACTGCCTGCAAAGTTTGGTAGAGTACGCATTTCACAGGGCTATAAACCAGATATATCATGCGCGTGAAGGGCAACGGTGTGATTGCATACCAATGTTAGTGTCAGATCTCCACATTTGAACTTAGGCAACTACTATGTATCCGTCCTTAATGATTTATGGAGGACTAAAGATCAACGACGATCACTATTATCGCTTGCGATCGTTGATCAGCATGAAAATACCTATCACCGAGACGGAAAGACTACTGCCCTCTTTGAGAATAACGAGCAATATGGCAAAGCGAGAAACAGTTCTGTAAAGTATTTTTCAAAAAATGAATTTTATTTATAAGCAACCAATTCAAAATCACATCAAGTGGGCTGCTACATCTTTTGTTCAATGTATCAAGAACTGTGTTTTCAGTTCAATTCTTGCTTCATGTTATGGATGTATGCATATATGTACTTTGTTAACACAAGTAATTTTGTTTTCCAAAAGCGTTAATTTTTAGATTATGTGCAGCCTGAAAGCAATAGCGTTGATGGCGTTCTGTTTCATCACTGTCGGTGCACAATTCGGTGGTTACAATCGTGGTATGCACGAGTTTTCTGATTCCTTAACTTTTTTGAGAGTTTTCCTACATTCATTAAATTAATGATAAGACAAAAAACTGTAAGCAGTCAATTAATATGATTCTGCTGGAAGTTGAGGAGCTTGCTATTGTCAAACATTCAATTAATCTAACGATGGCTACCAAGCTGTGTTATATATCTCAATCATTGACTCGCCTTGGATCTATGACAAAGTTGATTCCAAATCACGTGTAAAGCGATATATTTTCATCGCTATGACTTAATTTTGCTCATATCCATGAATACCAGTTAATTTCCTTAGAAAGTCTTTTTGTTCTGTAGCGCAGCTTCCTCTACAAGAAGTACTCCTTGACTTTACCCGGTAAAGCTCCTACCTACATTTTGTAAATGAGAAAGGGTCTTCTGAAAGACTTGTAACTCACCCAGAAAGACAGATTGTTGACTGTGATGAGTGGTTTGAGGCCTTTTAATTGGCCAAATAATCACAGATGGGGAGAGTGCAAAGGTGCTGCTATATCACACGACATGACTCGAACTGTCATTAATTGCCCTTTGTACCAATTCAATAAAAACCCTTGTCATAGCCATTAAAAGTTGACTTGAACTTGCAGGATGTTGCTGTGGGAAATTAGTCCAAGCAGTTTAAGGTTGCCTTACAGAGCTAGATCTAATCAGATATTCATAAATGGTGAGATAGACTAAACAAAATGGAAAAACACTGCTGTAACAGCATCTAATCATCCCTACAAGGTTCGAATAATTTGAATTCCAGGAGGTCTCGGTGTGCAGAGCAATGCTGGTTATAGTGGTTATGGTGGACAAGGCTCTAGTGGCTATGGTGGACAAGGCTATAGTGGCTATGGCGGACAAAACTATGGTGGAGGAGGCCTCGGTACTTCTGCCGGACTTGGATTGGGTTTAGGTTAACGAGCTAGTAAATTACATACGATTGTCGATAGAGCACCAATTACAATTAGAAATTGCATCAAATAACCTTTGAAGTAAACGTACTTGATGTTAGTGATTATCTGAAGATTGTTTGATCGCTGATTCAACCGAACTGGCTGAGAGAAAGGAATATAAGGGCTTCGATGGTGCAGTGGGTAGAGTGTGGTATCCCTAAAAGAGTAATTCCAAATCCTTACCCGCCTATTTTTCCAAGCCTTGTTCGTATATCATTTCTTGTTGCCGCAATTCACATTATACTCCATCGTGTAAAGAGATTAGTAGTGGCTGAAAGTTGAAGCATTATAGTTATCTAGAAAGTTGAAGAACAATGAGTTTGTCAAGGCACTTATATCTTAACTTGTATGACTTCTTTTTGTCATGTATTCGAATCTTCACTATGCCGTTTCAAGACAGCACATACCCGTACTATTCTATCAAAACCCACGTTTCCCCTTCTTCTCGGCCGCATTTCATAGTATAAAAAGAATAGAAAGACAAGACGTGAATAAAATTTTATTTGAACTTTGACCAACTTGACACGAAACACTTGAGTGAGTTGAATTTACAACTGTATTATTGTAGATATGAATGAAAAGAGGCTTAGAAAACAAGTGAAAAATGTTTGAATATCAAATTTCCGTAACTGGGATATATAAATTGAATTGAATATATGGAAACATAAATTTGCCAAATTTACATGAAGAAGAGCAGAAAACAAAAAATACTAAGCCGATTGTTTTGTACTTATCGACTCAGCTGTAGTATTTAATATGATGCATGATGCATATCGGTGCCGGTGTACAAACTCAGTCACAATTGTAGTGGACAATTGGCGTTCATGACGTTCAGAATGTATACGCAAATTCTCATCACGGCAGGTACACAAGTACCGTGCTGCAAAATTTGATCCTTCGAAGGTGCACAATAAGGAACACTTGAAAGATTACTATGGGCGCTTAAAAATCTTATATCATCCTACCTTTCTATGGAAATATTTCTAACAGTTCTTGATTGGCAAGCAAGTCATCCAAGAAGTGTTTTATATTTTATTCCTTATGAAAACACATTTACCGCACATATATTACCATACATCATTCAACTAAAGCCATATCATAGAACTCAATCGGGCTAGTTTACAACCACCAACATCGGAAATTTTGGCTTTTAGGGAATTCTGGTGATTTAGGTAGTAGAGAGCGATTTAGCTTATGCAATGCGTTCCACTTCTGTTTAGATCATTATTTTACTAAAGCTCCTGGAATTTGAAAAACCGTTTTCGAGAATTTTTTTGTCAATGACTGAAAGCACCGGTAGCTACGTTTTCAGTGCAAGGTTGACACGAGAAATTCAAGAGAACATCAGTCAGATATCAAAGATTCGAGCCATTCCGTTTGAACGACATGCTGTGCACTGTCTTATCATGAGTGTGTGCTGCGATGCATCTCACGTTCTCTAGACTGAAATTATCTTTCAAAAGCTTTTTCAAAAAATTTTATCATTTCATGATGATAATGCTCCCTCAAAACCTCAGTTTATCCAATAATTTTCCCTTATTTCCATTGCGGTCCGGGCCATTGCGAATTTGGAGAGAAGTGCGACGTTGCCATCACAGTACTTGAGTTAGATGAGACGTCACGTGGCGCGCTACGAAACGTAGCATGTGGTTCCCAGAAGGTTAATAAGTCTTGTAATCATGAGATATGCTCTATCGTCTTTTCTGAGACCGTGTTTGTTACCTTAGCTACTGATCGTCCAGTGCTGTGTCAATAATGTTAAGGATGAGTAGAGCGAAGAGTTTATGGATATCATACAGCGCTGTAATGAGCTACAGTTCTTGATGCATCGAGATTTTACATTTTAAACAATGACACGGCTTTAATAACTTTCCGTTGATTGTGATTTGCTCATTTTGACAAGTAACGACAGAGAGGCCAGCCCATGTGTTAGTGAAGACAGTCGAAAGCTTCTTCAACAAATCACAATTTCTGCTCTCTATACAGGTGTTATTTGATCCTCCACCTACGAACATATCTGATCTTTAAAAGGAGATCGGTGGAATGGCGTATCCATCCTTTATGATTTTATATGGAAGCGAGAGAAAATATCTGTGAAAGAGATTACAATAACAGGACGAAAGCTTACACAAATTATTAGGTCTCTCATAAGTATTGCCACTACAACAATAAATACGAAATTTACCAACCAGAATGAATTTAAAATGCTCAGCAACACAAATTCAAAGTAATCGCCATCAACATGAACAATTTCTACCATCTCTCAAGCAACAAATTGATACCGTGCCCATAAAACTCGTCGCCTTTGGTTTCAAAAAAAGTTGTAAATCCTCGAGGCAGATGACTGATGTCTTAAAAAATTCTTCCTGCTCAGGAAGTGCGCCAGCTACCGAAAGAGGTGATGGCCAGGCGGCAAGAAGTAGGGACTGTACGGGTAATGATCGAGAAACTCCCAGACAACTTCGGTCAACTTCCTCTTTGTCAATTTGCCGACATGCAGCCTTGCGTTGTCATGAAGCAGCCCAAGATTGCGGCGACGTCGACGTGTCAGGGCCCGATTGCAGCGGTCCGGGTGCTCATAGTAGCGCTTGGCGTTTATCGTCTCCCCGACTGGCAGTAAGTCTTAGTGAATCGGCCCGATTCGGTCCCAAAAAATGACGAGATGGCCTTTTGTGCGAATCGGTTTGGACCTGGATGTGGAGTTGGAGTTTCTCGTTAGCCTGATGAGAACCATTGATTCGGACGACGTTAACGCTGTTTATCTCGACACGAATCTTTGTGGCTTTTTAGAGTTGATGTGCGCGAAGGTGATCTGTGCATCGCGTCCTAATTCATACTCGTAATACTTCGAAATTATAGTATCTCTACTGCTTATTTCGCAGTGTTAGATGTTACTTATATAACTTAGAGAATTGAGTGATGAGCAAGAACATGGCCTCAGGCGGGAATCGAACCCGCGTTTCATCCTACCCCTATCCGGGGACGCGTGCTCTCACCACTACACCACCGAGGCACATTTGCCCGACCACTCATTCTTCAACATCTCTATGTTAGCTATCAGCCACCAACCTTAAACAGGTTTGGTCGGCTATGCGATTTCGCTTTATAAATCCCGTTAAGGTAACAGCTATTGTTATATAGGGAGACCGTGTTTTTGGTCACCACTCCATTATCTAATTTATATAAGTAACATCATAACACTGCGAAATAAGCAGTAGAAATACTATAATTTCAAAGTATTATATATAACAATAGCTGTCAGCTTAACGGGATTTAAAAAGCGAAATCGCATATCCGACCAAAACCTGTCAAAGGTTTGTGGCTGATAGCTAACATAGAGATGTTGAAGAATAAGTGGTTGGGCAAATGTACCTCGGTGATGTAGTGGTGAGAGCACGCGTCCAGAAAAGGATGAAACACGGGTTCGATTCCCGCCTGAGGCCATGTTTTTGCTCACCACTCAATTCTCTAGGTCATATTCGTAAAGCAGAAAATTGCGATAAAAGCTTTGTTGAGTGATCATGATGCGGTAGTACTGGCAAATCTGGTTTACCAATTTGGCCAAAAAAGGTCACAATTTCTACAACAAGAGGTATTGATTTGTTGCCTAAGTGATGGAGGAACTATCTTCAAGCCGATGGCGCATGTTTTTGGATAATGTTTTCAAGCCGTTCAATTACTTTGCTCAACAAAGTTTGTGTTTATTACTCTAGTGTAAAAACTTATCAGACGACCTAACATAATGTAAGCACTAATTAAATGCACTTTGTATTTGCCTCAGAAAAGGTATAATTAGCGAGGTTTGATCTTTACGCTACAATTCTAGTAATCAAAGTATCCGTGTTTGCAAATAACGAGCAAAAAAAAGTAGCCACAGGAAGGCCGCCCATCATTGTGTTCCACTTTGTTCATGGGAATGGTGAGTTTCCGGCACTTTTATCCGTGGCCCCCGACGTTTCGGTTTCATCTGGCGACTGAATTCCACTGTTCTATCACTTTACTTTAACAATGTAATTTCTGTTCTTCGGCTCTCAGCCTCAATTCTCCAAATGTTAAAGAGTAGCATTTATATATCATAGATCCATCAATTGCTCAACATCTCAAGAGATCTACCTTCAAGAGTCGAGCAGATGCCTAACAACGATTAAGCAACTATTATTCCGCTGCGCTATAATGAATTAGTGAGCCCTTCACTGCTGAACTGCAGCACAAATCAACATCTGTGAAATACATTTGTGCAGGTAGTCAAAAAGTGGCTTTCTAAGCCGTTATGTGTAGTCCACTACCACGGTATTGGTAAAACGTTGATTTAGCTCCCTCCAATATTTGGAAGTTTTGCATATAATACGGTATCCTTGGATATATATTTATATCACCATAATGCTACTACAGTTGTGAAGAATGTTCTGGGGCACTTTAATAAGCATGAGATAGCTCCCATGCATAACATGGGAGTTTTACAGTTTCTTAAGTGATCTCACTGAAGGTCTAAATATCATTCCTCTTTATTTTCACACTATTGCAAGACTCCGCCTTGTCCACCAAAATTATCGAAATTCGTATTTTATTGCCGATCTGAATCGGTCGGTAATATTTTGATATACCAAGAACTAGAGAACTAGGAAACATGTGAGGATGTTCGAAAAGATTCTCTGGCTACAGAATTATGTGCGGTACGTATACCACTACTTATTCTATATTGCTATGATATTGCTGTCATCATTTAATAGTTTTTTCTATAATTTTCGATGAAGTTAAAAAAGTATGTCAAGAGTTCTTTGATTCGCAGTCGAAGGAATGGTACTTCGACCACATCCAAAACTTGGGGGACCGATGGCAGAAAGTCGTAGAAAACGATGGCCTTCATTTTGAGGAATGGATAATGGCGTTTTTGTTTGGAATTTGTGCATAAATTTTCAATTTTTTGCAAATGCCTCAGAATTTTCTTCTCAACCTAATACTTTAAAATTAGTAAAATCATAAAAAATTTGCTCAATATTTCCTGAATTTATTTACACCTCATTCAACACTTTATCAAAAATTCCTCCAGACATTCCGAATAATCTTTTATGTATGTCGTTGGCTTTTCTCCTTACACAGGCATTACATACTGCTTTAATCTCAACACTTCATGTTTTTGATTCTCTTACTAACATCTATCATTGAGAGGGTCCATGGAGAGATTCTGTAGAATTTTGAAAACCGTGCTAAAGCATTGCAGCTCTTCTTCCACAGGATCTCGTCACCTTTGGAATCGAAAAAATAGAGTCTGGTCTCGTTCTAAAATTGTACAACTAGACTCTCCTGCATGCGGCATGTCTAGCATGTCTTTTACCTACGTAACGCTTGCTCCTGTACTCGGATTTTAAACTGAATTAGCAGCTAAGCTTTCGATGTTCATAAAAAATCAAAAACCAGAAAAACTTTCTTTTCTAAGCTTAAGGATCTAAGTTTTCAGATATATTTTGCGAGTATATGATGATTTTCACGGCTTATAAGTGAAGTTATACCTTGACAAATATTCTCTTTAAGGGCTTGCAACAAATCTTCTTCTAGCAAATTCTTTGCTACGTAATCTGACTATTCCGACACATCTAAGCGTAATCATCGAGAGGGACACAGCATAAATCATGGAAAAACTATCAAATGATGACAGCAATATGTGAGCTTAGAGAATCACAGCAGTATATATCTAATATACATATCGCGCATAATCATGTAGCGACAGAGAATCTTGTCGATCATCCTCACATGTTTTCAAGTTCTCGAATCCGTTGTTTAAGAAAATTTTATTGTCTACTACTAAAAAACCAGTAACTTCCCACCGATTTGAGACTTGGCGTCGCCTCAAAGCTGACATGCGTTGGAATAATATGCTACAATGTATCTGCCTCGCTATTACAAATGCATGTTGAGGACGTGAAAATTCGTGATCCATTCATCAATATTTCTTTCGTCTCTTCTCATTCTCTTCGAATCAAAACTCTCTGAGTTATATGTGGTTCACGTAGTTTCAAGCATCTATGATTTTCTAAGCTTCTTCTACACGAAGTTAAATTAATTCAGATCAAGTTTTCACAGCAGTTTTAGTAATACATAAGGAAAAATCAAATTTGAAAACATAGAGAATGAAACCAATGAGTTTGGTACATGAACAGCGATAAACTAGAGGTTTGTGGTATTTTTACTGCAATTTTTCGCAGTGTTGTTTTATTTCATATATACCTAAGAGAATTAAGTGGTGAGAAAAAGCAAGGCTTCAGGCGGGAATCGAACCTTTGTTTCATCCATAGCGGGGACACGTGCTACTACCACTGCACCACAAATGCACATCCGCGCCATCACTCATTTATTAACATCTCTACGTCAGGTGAATGAGTGGTGGCGCAAATGCGCCTCGGTGGTGCGGTGGCAGTAGCACGCGCCCCCGGTATGGATGAAACGCGGATTCAATCCCGTATGAGACCATGTTTTTGCTCACAACTCAATTCTCTATCAAACTGGAAGAAAAGGAACTACGGAAATGATATGATGCAGATTATATTTCACATGGCGCACGTTGTCCACGAACTTACTAAAGTGCATATTGATAACGCTCAGCGTTACCGTTTACTTATAAACGGCGTCAGTTTTCTGAAACATCACGCAACTCCTTTGTAAACCAAAGCTCTGCGTACTACCAATAATTTGTGATCAACATGTTTGATTTATTCCTTAGTACAAATCCACTGATTATAATAAATGTTCATAAAATTTGTTCTGAGTATTCCATGCGCCCATAGAAGTTCAGTCTTCATGCGCCCATAGAAGTTCAGTCTTTAACACCTTGGGATTACTGCTCCACAGGGTTGTGGAGTGGCTGTATTTTTGAGACTGGACAGCGACGCAGCTCAAGTTTTCATCTACCGGCAATGTTTTCCAAGTCGAAGAGTTTAACTTTTATATTTTGATGCTCATTTAGGCTTGAAAAAGTACAGCGAGCTCTTTGTCCGCTAATGTTGCTCGATAGATCGCCGTAATTCGAGTGCGACGGCAAACGGAAATCTTATTGGTGCTCACTACAACCATTTAAATGTAGTTCTTAAACGGTCTTTAACATTACATGCCTACCGTACGGTACTTTAATGCAGCCGATCGTTGAGTGTCAAAAAGGCGTTCAAACAAGTTTTCCGTTCAATCTTCTTTTGAGTCGGAATTGCCCAGAGGGTTATGTTTGCATCTGTAGTCCTCGTGAAAAGAATTTAACCATCAACTTTTCCTCTTTTTGTTTGTGCTTGTCGTTTTGTAAGACTCACGGCTCCTGTCCACAGCTGATATTCATTACCAGTTCAACTCACTCGAACTGCGATATCGGCGCAGAGCCAGTGTTTCTAATCACTGATCAACGGCATACAGTTCTTCTCACTGGTACCATAAGAAAAACATTACTTTCGCGATAGTGTGTTCGATAACACTGAATGATCTTTCATCTAGTTTAGGCAGTCTCCGCCAGCGCGTAGATTGATCAATAAGACCAACAATTTCGAAGCGGTAGTCACAGGGTTAATCGTTCTTTGTCATTTCAATTTGTCATCATGCCGCAGGTTTTGCCTTGACTAGTTCCAGGGCTGGGCTATTAATCATAATCATTTCTCAACCCCGTGTACATAGGTGGTGCGTTACGAGATGTTCTTTCCGCTCAGACTCTCGCTGGCAACAAAGCACCATTTGATTGTTAATTATGAAATTTTGTAATTAAGTGTCATCCCATTGTAGCTCTGGCATGGTACTCACAAAAGTGGGTGCAAATAATTCAATTTGCCACAATAATTAATGCCGTTGCGAGGTGGCAAAATCGCCGCTGAAGTGCCGACTAAGTCAAAAACATTTCAAGGGGAGGAAAGTAAGGCGAACTAACATGCTGTACTCTCACGATACTTCAGTGAGCTTCGCCGGTGCGATGGTGTGATGATTAGGCTTTATGCGTAAGATTACTTTATACCTGTTTGCTCACAACACTATCGTTCTCCTTATTTGCTACCAATTCAAAAGTAGTCTAGGTAAAAACTTGTAGATTACATGGAGGGATTAGACGAAAGTTGTTGACTCCTTGTGAATTTTCTGTAGAACAATAATCTTCCATTGAAGATCATTTTGGTTCCATCAAGGACACTTGTTACAGCGTTCGCAGAGGGTGAAGTCTGACCTTCATAGTCGGATACCGTATAATTTTTTGCTGGCGGTGCACCTGTCGAGCTTCAAGAGAAGTGCCGCCGTATGGTATAGCGAATGTCCTAACGTAATGAAATCACAAACTTAACAGCTTGTAAAAGAAATTCTGGATAATTTCCTCCGTTGCTTTAATTATTCGTTGTGGGCCATTTGTTAAACTAATGATGAAGTCTGAATGGATAGGAATGGTCTCAAATTTAGCAGTTGCTGCTGCTCTCTTCACATTTTGATT